CGCATGCCGCAGCTAAGATGTGGTGCAGATAGACGGATAAATAAATCCACGATGCAAGGAAGATCCCGCATGCTGCAACTAAAAGAAGATCCCTCGTGCTGCAAATAAAACTGGGCGTAGCCAAACAAACAACACCTCCCATGGTTTATTCTGTTACTTTAAGAACTGATTTTTATGCTGCAGTCCTGATCCGTTTGGTATTTTGTAAAGTGTGAGGATCATAGTCCCTGTATTATGAAGAACCAGTGCTAAACTTGGCTGTTAAATAACCTGCTCAACCCATTGTACAGATGGGAAAGAACCCTACCCACCGAAATACCCGTCTCCAAAACCTGCTCCTCTTCCGGAGCTTGCTAACTCAGGGAGTGGCACCTCCCTCCAGGAAGGTGCCAAAGTTCCACCTTCACACAACTCATTCACTCTGTCTTGTTGATTCTTCCTCCTAAAGATTCACGAATCCATTCACTTCACTCCCACTTAACTAAGCCAGTTCAGGCCTTGTCATATTGTTCACACAACAGGGCTTTAACATGCTGCTCCCCCTGCCTGGAACATGGCTGACTTCTTATTCAGGACTCAGACCTTCCTTGCCCACCTTCTCTCAAGTACCCCCCGTCACTATGATATCAGTTTATTTTTTCTTTCACAGCACTTGCTACACTCTGTAATTACCTCATTTATTCACTTGTTCACTGTCTTTCTCCTCCACTAGAATGTAAGCTTCCTGGTATCATGGGCCACGATTTTTGGCTTCTGCTGTATCCCTGGCACTTCTGACAGTGCTTTTCATATATGGGGTGTTCAAACTATTTACCAAATTAATAAGTGAATGAGTTCTCACCTGGATTACTTCAGTGGCCTCCTGCTTCCTTTTCTCATGCTTCCCCGTGAGATACAGACTCAGGGAAATTCTGAGTGACATGTCAATTATTACTGAACAAAATCAAGGAGTCCTGAGAAAAGAGGGAGCTCAAAGGCCAGCTGTGGGGCCAGAGGAACTGGGGTTGACTGGCATGCTGACCAGACAGGGTCAGGGGACCTGGCTTCTGGTGCCAGCTTGCTTCCTGGTATGTGACCTTGAGCAGCTCACTTCCTCTCTCAGCATCTTCCTCTTCTGAAAAGTGGTGATATTAAAACGTCAATGACACAGGGAAGTTGTAAAAATCAAATGCAGGTAGGTGTGGAAGTGCCCGTACACTGTAAAGGGTCAGGGACATAGGGCAAGCTTTCTTCCCTCTCAGAGGGTGCTAACTCACCTGCGGGTGGGCCCTCTGTCATCCCAGGATCTTCCTGCCTTCAGATGCAGGCAGATGCTGTGCCAGGACTGAGTTTCTCTTCTTCCACCATTTCCTCCAGCTGCCCAAGCTGGGCCCAGCGTCCTACCCAGGGCATGGTACCTGCCAATAAGCATGGGGCTGGCGGGAGCTGCTGACAGCTTCCAGGTACCAGGGCAGAGGTGCCTGGCACACACAGGTTAATGTAAGAACCTCTTTCTTCTGGGCATCGGTTTTTTCCCTGAGGAAAGCAGGGTTAATTGGTGTCCCAAGACACCAGACAGTCATCAGTATTATGACAGTGGCTGTAGGCAGTTGAAAGGTGGATGATTCCAGAAGACACCAGGGAGAGCCAGTCATGAAGCCTCAGGGCTTCAGGTGCACCCAAGCTTTGGTTTAGGAGGTCATGCCTGTTTGTCCTCCTTTGGTCTCCTGGAGCCAGAGTTCCTCCTTCAGCCACTTAAAACGTATATTGTTTACTTAGTGGGCCCGAAGAGCTGTCCCAACTCCACAGAGAGATTATTCAGCCTGAAAATTAAAAACAATCTCCTGTACTTGTTAAGTAGGGAAGCGATGATCCATCTTAAGTCAGATTCCCTTTTGACATTGTTTTGCCTCAGGCTCCTTTCCTCTGCTGGCCTCATTAAATGTTGATAATCCCTATGTGGTCTTCAAAATTTAGGGAGACTTTACTTATCTGGGAATTTCTGATTCTCTCTTTCTTTAGCGCCTCCCTTCTCCAAATTGTCCCCCCAGATTGCTGCCAGAGGGATTTTTCTGAACCACAGTTCTGATCTTCTGGCTCAGAAATCTTTTGTTCCCTACCGCCAGTAGGGTGAAGTCCAAATTCCTTAGCTGGGAATCACACACTGCCACAATTCAGACTGCGATTTTGTGAAATTTTCAGCTTCAGATGGATTGATAGGATTTCAATATAAATTAAATCATAGAATATGTATCGTTTATGATTAGGTTCAGAGAAAGCCCAAACACTAGGGGCTTAAATAACACAGAAGCTTATTTCTCAAGTCCTCAGGTGGGCAGTCACCGTTTCTGGGTCTCAGGGACCCAGGCACCTTTGATCTTGTTGCTGTCCCATTCTCAACATGGTCAAAGATGGCTGTGCAAATTCCATGTTTGTATCCCAGCCAGGAGGAAGGTGAAAGGGGAAGGAAATGGTACAGGATGGATGCCAACTATATTTTAAAGAGGCTCCTAAGAAATGGACACCTAGCACCTCTGCTTACATCACATGGGCCAGATCTTGTCAGCTGCAAGGGAGGCAGGGAAACACTGTTTATTCCAGCCCACCATGTGCCCGCCTAAGAGTCATCAGTTTTCTTTTTCTTTTTGCCGAACGCGGGCCTCTCACTGTTGTGGGCTCTCCCGTTGCAGAGCACAGGCTCCGGACACGCAGGCTCAGCGGCCATGGCTCACGGGCCCAGCTGCTCCGCGGCACGTGGGATCTTCCCGGACCGGGGCACGAACCCGTGTCCCCTGCATCGGCAGGTGGACTCTCAACCACTGTGCCACCAGGGAAGCCCCATCAGTTTTAATTCTTAGCAATAGAATGGTATTTGGGGAAAACGAGAAGCTTCTGACATAAATGTTCTGCCTCTATCACTTAGCCTGGTCCCTTAGTCTGTAATGCTTGTCTCCCTCCCCTGCCTGAGAAAATATTATCATCCTTTAAAGCCCAACGTCAGCTCCAGCTCCAGGGACTTCCCTGGCGGTCCAGCGGTTAAGACTCTGTGCTCCCAATGCAGGCGCCATGATTTCGATCCCTGGTCAGGGAACTAAGATCCCTCATGCCAAACAGAGCAGACAAAAAAAAAAAAAAAAAAAAATCAGCTCCAGACCCCCAGAGGTACTATTCCCGGGACACTCTGCACACCCCCGAGGTCTCTAACCGTGATGTGGTGCTATGAACCTTCCTCCCACCTGTCTGCCCACTCTGAGTCTCTACCAGGGGCCCGATCCTTCTCCATGGCTGCAGGCTCATGACATCCCCTAAGCCCAACCTTGTGGAGTCCCCCTGCAGAACCTAATCCTAACTTGCACTCCTGTAGGCTTTGGGCAGCCTCCCACTCCCTCTCAGACTTTCTGCACTTTCCCCCATTGACCAACTGCACAAATCATCCATCCCACTAACCTTGAGGATACAGAACGGGAGGGACTTGGGTGAGCTGCGGCTGATTCTGAGCCCAGGTGTACAAGGTGGCAAATCTTACCCAGAGGGCACCTGTAGACCTTTCCCAGCCCCAGGATGAAGCTGAGTCCTTTTCTCCAGAGGACACACAAGATGCTGCCGAAGACAAGAGGATGACGCCGGGGCCCAGGTATGTGCTGGCATGTAACTAGCCTTCAGAGCCAGTTTTCCACATCACTCCACTGCCTAAAATCCCTCAGTGCCTCCCCCATGTCTTGGGGGCAAGTCCTGAGCCTTCCTGCTCTGACTGCTGCCCACTGCTCCCATCTCAGTCTTTCATACTCCCCCCGCGTCCTAGGCAGCAGCTCTACTTGCCTGTGGGCAGTTCCCCGACTGCTAGGCTCTCCAGGTCTGCCAGACTCTCACGAGTGCTGTTGGCTTTGCTTGGTACACCTTCTCCTGCTGGGCCTTAAGATTGGCTGTGACCATACTTCCTCTGGGAGGCCTTCCTTAAACCCTCAGGCAGAGCTGCTCTGTCCCCACGGCCCTCCGAACACCTCCGTATCAGCGGCCTCGTGAGTATGCTGTGCACTAACTAGGCTTAGCTACTTGCGGGCCAGCCCCACGTCACTCACGGGCAGCCCTGGCCTCAGGCACATGCTAGGCTCTCAGTATGTCCCCCCGCAGTGAGGCTCTAGAGCTCAGGGACAGAGGGCCAGGTGATGAGGGAGACACCCCAAAGCCTCTGGTTCTTTGCTTTGAGTGAGTGGATCATGAAGCAAACACCAAAAACTCACATAGTGTCAAACTCTTCTCTTTGTCTGAATAAACCTACTCATTTTTCAGAGCCCACTTTCAAGCTTCACCTCAGGGAGGCCTAGGACAGGACCTTGGTTAGGCGCTCACAGCACTTCACGCATGTCTTCTTTTGCACACTCATCACTACGGTAACTGTCGTGGGACCAGTGGTTTGATGTGGGGTTTCTCAACAGCGGCACTGTGGACATTTGGGCTGGATAAGCCCTTGCTGAGGGAGGCTGTGCTGTGCACAGTGAGATGCTGTAGCAGCGTCACTGACCTCTACTCACTAGGCGCTAGTAGCACCCCCTCGATTATGATAACCGCAGTGTCCCCTGGGAGCAAAATGAGCTCAGGCTGAGAACCACTGGTGTAACATCTGTCTCCCCAGTTAGAATGGAAGTTCCGTGAGGATGGTCCAGGCACCTGAGACCCCGTTTCCTTGGTTTCTCAGCCTGGCATTCACTCCTCTGTGGAGCTGATCCTCCCCGTCCCAGCTTGAGCCGAAGGCCACCTGAGAATGAGTCAAACCTTCCTTTTTAGAAGATTCTCCTCTGTGGGCTTGGAGGGCTTGAGGGCAGAGATCTGTTTTACTGGCTTTTGTACCTGCCAGCCCCGTCAAGGCTTTGCTTTCAGGGCGGTCAGGAAGTGATGGCTGGAGGACAGGTGGAGGGTGGGCAAGAGGGGCTTCTAGTGCTGGGAGCTGGCAAGGGATGGTCCTTCTTTTTTTTTTTTTTTTTTTTTTTTGGGATGGTCCTTCTTATTAGGGGTGACTTCTATTGTTTTTTCTTTGTTTTTTTAAGAAGTTCGGACTTTATTAGATACCCGGAGGCTGGCCCCAGGGAAAGCCTTGGCTGGCCTCCCAATTCTCCGCCTCAGAAGTGACAGTGGGGAGAGGAGCAGCCTGCGTAAGGCGGAGGGGCCCCAAGTGGGGGGCCCGAAACCAGTCCTGCTGGTCCGTCTCCCCTCCCACTTGGCTCCGGCTCCTCTGGGGTTATCACATCACATGGTGAGGATCTGCTTGGAAGACACGAAAGGCTGCGTGGATGCTTCTAAGGCGCGCTGGTAGTCCTGCAGTGGGACCTCGGCGCAGGCGGGGGCCGTGAGCTGGCCTCGGCGGATGAGGCCGCACAGCGTGAGGATCAGCTCCTTGAACTGGTCTGTGGGAGGTTGGAGGGTGTCAGACGGGGGAGCACCCGCAGGGCTCGGTGAGGGGACACGCGGGCTTCCCCTGCTGGCAGGAGCTGGTGCTGGGCTCCAGGGAAGCCTCGAGAGCCCGGGGCTCAGCCAGGGACACGGCGGCCGCTGTGGAGGCGGCCGCTGTGGAGGCGGCCTGGGGCCCGCCTGTGCCCAGGACAGTGAGGGCCAGGGTGGGGACAGAAGCACGGGGAGCAGCCCCAGGAGCTGACGGGCAGGCAGAGTAGTGCTGTGATGGCTCAGACCCACAGGACCTGACTGGGTGTAGCGGGGAGTCCTGAATGGTGGGAGGGCGGAATCACTCAGAGGGGCAGAAGCCAGAAGAGGCATGGGGAGGGGGTGGGTGGTGCCTGGCACACCAACAGATGTGGAACAGAGGAGCTCTGCTCAGGGAAAAGAGCCTTCCCTGAGAGCCCAGGCTCCCTCAGAACCGCACCAGCAGAAGCCACCAACGTCCCCTCCCGGGCTTGCCTCCCACTAAGGACCCCATAAGGTAGAGGAAGATGAGAAGGGAAGGCCTTGGCTGAGAAGTACTTTTTCACAGACATCAATTCATTCAACATTCAAATTGAATCGTATCCCCTGCTTAAAACACTTCAGTGCTTCCCATTTCCCTTTAAGATCGAGCCTGAGCTCCTTGAAGAGGATTATAAGGCCTTTCATAATCTGGCCACAACCCATCTGTCCGGCTTCCCACTCTCTACTGGGCTTTAACACATGCTATTTTCTCTGCTTGGAACAGCCCCTCAGACGACCACTTCCCTCCCCATCACTGGGATAACTGCATGCCATTCCTCAGCTCAGCCTGGGGCCGGTGGTGGTCCCAGTCTGGGGAGCCAGTCCTCCAGGAGAGGAAGAATAGTGTGCTGGCTCAGGTTCTGGAGTCAGAGAGACTGGCTGTTCACATCCTGGCTGCACACCCCTTAGGTGGGGATGACCTGGGGCAAGCTACTTCACTACTCTGAGCCTCTGTTTCCTCCTGTGTCAAACAGAGCTGCCAGTAGTTTAAACAATTATGACATTTAAACTGAGGCAGAGGTGAAGTAACTTGCCCAATGTCCCACAGCTCGCTCAGCAGAACCCACAGCCAGTAATGGTGGAGGGAGGATTTGGGCCTGGGCAGGCCGGTTCCAGAGTCTGTTCTCTTTCCTTGGCTGTCTTCCATGGCAGTCTTCCCCACTGTCAGCTCCTCAGGAGGGCGGCAGGGGGTGCCTTGTTCAATATGGTGCCCCAAGGACTAGCCCACTTTAGTCCAGTAACTATTTGCTGACTGTAGCTGTATTTAGAGACTGTTTTCCTTTATCCCGTTGTGGGCCTGGGGGTCCAATCACCTCTCCAGGGCTCAGAGTGGCTGGTCACTTCTGCAGCAGGCACTGCCCTCAGGTGACCCTTGGTAATGGGGCCATCATCCACTTACCTGGACTGTGGTCCTTCTTCCACTGGGATAACCAAAAGCCCCGAAGTTTGAGATCCTTAAAAATGAGCAGGCTCTGTGGACACAGGAAGGACACGCTGGGGCTGAGGGCAAGAACTTCAGGCACTGCTTAAGGTAAGGATTCCCCCAGGGGCGGGGGGCACTGCCTGAGTTTAGACAACGGTGGTGTCCAGGCCCCTGTCTCCAGGCACTCCCCCGCCCCACCCCACCAGCTTACCACAGAGGCGATGACAGGCTGCTTGGCCATCCCCCCATAGGTCACCATGGTTCCTCCAGGCCTGAAGGGTCCAGAGAGAAGAGAGTGGTCGCAGGGAGAGACAGAGCCCTTCTTGAACCAGTTACAATGCATCTACTCCAACCCTGGTTCCTAAACCTCGTTCTCAGAATCCCTGGGAAGCGTTCAAAAATACAGGTCCCTAGGCCCGACCCAGACCTAATGAATTGGGAAGCAAAGCTCTACATTAAAAACGACAGAAAACAAACAAGCAAGCAAACACCCCTGGCAGATGACCTCGATGTCTAGCCAGGGTTGGGAGTCCAGAGTTAAGCGCCCAGTCAGGCTTTGAGGAAGAGCTGCAGAGAAGAATATTCCCCTGAGCAAAGCTCACCACCCGATTTGTGAGTGGAGCCGGAAGCAGATCGGGCCGGGCTCTACTCCACTGTCGGTGTATGACGCTGGGCAACATGTCCACAGCGGGCCACACTGCCTCTCCTGTACACGCTCCAGTGACACGACGCAGCTAAGGAATGGTGCGGACAGTGCAGAAGACAATGGCAATTGTCAGGACCTGCTGTCTGACACCCACACCCGCCCCAGCGGTCAAACAGGAGAGGGGCTCATATAATTTTTAAAACGTAAGCTAGGACTTCACATGCCTGACTTAACCTGTGCTCCCCTCGCCACTCCCCTGGCTCTTTTAGGAGTTGGTTGATCAAGGAAGACCCGAGATACATTTTGGGACAACACGAGGGAGGCTCTGTGAACCCCAGGGTGGAAGAAGCTGCTGAGAGAGGCAGGTAACTCTCTGTGCCTGAGGCCGGGGGCCAGTCGGGTCTTAAGTTCCCTTCAACTGCCACCTCCTCTGGAAAGCAGTTCCTGCATGGTGTGGGGGCGAGCCCTCCCTCTGTGGACCCGTATTACACTTGATCTAATCAGAATGGCTACCGTATACTGGGTGTTTACCACCTGCCAGGCACAGGTCTGAGCCCTTCACATGTGCTGGCCAGTGAATCCGCACGGTAACCCCATTTCACAGACAAGAAAACTGGGGCCCACCTCTCATTTGTAGAGCGCTGTGTACAGACCTCAGAGCCCCTTGGACTCACCTTCTGAGGCAGAAAGGGTTTATGTCCCCCCATTTCACTGATGAAGAGACTGAGAGCTGGATCGTTTTTCACATATTGCCTAACTTTTCATAGGTCCACAGCTAGTAAGCATGAGCCACGGGGGGATGGCAGCGGGCCTCGGAGGCTGCCCAGAGGAGGGCTGAAGAGGTAAGCTCGGAGCCACGGCCACTCGGGCAGCTGCCTACCCTCTCTGGGCCTCGTCTGGGCGGGGATGGGAGCAGTGCCCCTCACCTAGGCGATTGTGGAGGGGGTACATCACGCACTCTGCACAGCCTGGTGTGTGGTAAACACTCTGTGATTGTGACTACAGCTCTCTGGTCACACGACCCAAATTCCCATCCAGCCTGAGTTCTAGAGGGTTCCCTCAGTGTCTCAGCCATCTAGGTACCCTGTGGCTACTGAGTGCTAGCAAATATGTGTTAACAAATGTTGGTGCTCTAGTTGGGAAGTGTCCTTTCAGGTGCCCTTCAATTCGACAAGATTATATTAATGGAAAAAAAGAAGGAAAGGACATGCGCTGTCAACACTGTCAACGTCATCCCCCTGTGGTGGGATGATAGGTGAGCTCCGTGCTTAAATTTTCCTTTGTACTTTTACATGCTTTCAAGATGTTTTGTAACAGCACGATGTTACCTTTAAAATCACAATCTATTTTTAAAAGCTAATAAAAAACTTAAAAGCTAATAAGCTAGGACTAAGTGACTTTTTCAGATGCCCCTAGGTTATGAATCCTTACCCGTTCCCCTATCACAGAGCGCCCAGGAGTCTACTTCTGGGGTCCCTAGGAGAACAGAGCTGGATGGTCATCTGTAAAGGAGGAGGCTGAGAGAGGGAGGGCCCGAGGAACTAGGACGTGGCGTGGGTCCCATCTTCCTACTCAGGGTCGTGCTGACCTGGCCTTGGCCTGCACTGGCCACTGGGACTTGGTCACCCGGTGGTCCTCCTGGCTAAATCCCGGGAGGGAGCCTTCGTGCACTGGACCCACGGGGCCGAGGGACTTACGCCAAGTGCCGCAGCAGCTCCGTGGAGCTTTTCCCGCCGACACAGTTGAGAGCAAGCTGAGGCTGGGGCATGTCCTGGAAAAGAAGGGACCTGCAGTGAGCGAGCTACCCCTCTGTGGTGGGGTTTGAAGCTTGCTAAACAAACAGCACTTCCCTGGCCCAAGGGCTGTGTCAGGAAGGAGCGAAGAAAGTGGGACAGTCATGCCTTCCAACTCCGTCTGGGAAGGGCCTTTTCTTTACCAGCTTAATCCTGTTATCTGTTTTAGGATTTTGTTCAAAACTCACCTCCTCTGGGAAAGAACAGACAAAGGGCACCTATGTTCTGTTTTGACGGACTTCATTTCCCCCTCTTCTCAGCACTTACAACTCAGTTTATATTAGATGTGCTGACCTACTGCTTCAGAAATGTTCTCAAGAGGTGTGTGTTCTCAAGTAAATGTGTGTCCGGTCCCTCCAGGGTTCAGTGATAAGAGGCTGAGATGTGGTTCGGTCATTTACTAGGTGTGCTGGGCAGGGTTAAGGGGCTTTGATTTCAGAGAGGCCTGGAACCAGCCCGACTCCACCACTTATGATTGTGTGGTCTCAGTAAAGTCCTTTCTTTTTTTCCAAGTCTTTGTTTTCTCACCTATAAAATAGATAGCACCTACTTTGTAGAGCTTTTGTGGGGATTATCAGATAAAATATAAGGCAGATGCTTTGGAAATGTGACTCCTTTTCTTTCTCTTCCCTCCTGTACCTCAGTTTCCTCAGCTCTCTCCCAGCTCCGAGATTTACTTCGGCTGTGTGGGCTGACGTAGTTCACCACTAACATTCAAAACTACCAATCACACAGGGTTTCCTAAACCTTGTCTGCCTCTCCTGCCCCCTCACAGCCCCGGGCACTTAATGCATGCTTTCCCCTGGCTGAGGGAATGGGCTTTATCCTTCCACGAAAAGAGACAAAGGGAGGATTTTGGAGACATGGGGCCAGTGCCAGCTTTTCTAATTCAAGTGAATTTCTTTCTTCAGGGAGTTGGGCCTGGAATGGAGGTGCAATGTCCCTCATCACTGGTACCTTAAAGAAGTTTTTCATCTCATGCTTTCTTAGTTCCTCTTCTGTGACAACATGATGGGCCCCCAGATTCTTCAGTCTGTCGGTCAGCTTCTGGATGTCAGGTCTGGAAACCAAACACAATCCAAGGTCCTCGTCATATCTGCTCACTTTCTCCACGGAAGGCTCCCAGGACCCCTCTGCCACAGCTGTGAGAACCCGAGTTTCTCTTTGTGGGAAGCTAAGCTGGGCCTGGCCACCAGTCTCATCACATGCCAGTATCTCTTGGCCTCAGTTTCCTCACTGGCGTGAGAGAGCACTGGGTGGTTTCTACTGCTCCTGTCAGCTCAAGGACGCTAGAAACCATCTGGGCTCAGGGAGGAGTCATTTCACTTCCTGATTTCTTCTACTGAAACGACAAACTCTGCTTCCTTTCCCCCTCTTTTCAAGGGGCTTTTCAGAGTGTTGTGCAAACACACTCCGGTCCAGGAGTGGCTTTGAGCCTCTTTACCAAGGCAAACAGAACAAGTTTTTTGTCAGCACAACGGAGGGGATGGGGAACTGAAGCGAGTATCAGTTCTCCTGCCATGGCTGGGCTTCCCTGAAGAGACACAACCACGTGCGTGGATGGTGAGGCTTAAGGAAGTTGGAGGATATGATGGAGAGAGAACAAATTGGGAAACTAAGTTTGTCATTGGTTTGCTGTGTCTTCCTGAGCAAGTGGCTTCCTCCTTCTGATGACAAACCTGCCCCATCTCCTTTACATCTGTATTTAGTGCACTTCAAAGTATCACACAAATGCAAGGGAAACAAGGGCTCTGGGTTAGTTGGTTCACAGAAAGAATAACACAGCTTAAAACATTCCCAAATGTGAACTGTGGTTTTAAAAACATGAGGTTTATCACAAGTCAAGAGTCTCAGAAACTCTTAGCTGTTCACTAAGGGCCTTCTCCTTCCTGCCCTCCCTTTACATTTCAGATTCATTCATCCTATAGCCAAAAGCCACTGGACTTCAGTGCTGGTGGCTGACTCAGCTATAAGCCAGCTCCCGCCCGCAGGAAAGGAAGACCGCTTACGCAAGGGCGCCACCTGGTGGAAACATGGGCACCCGCGGGTGCCAGGTGGAAAGGCCCAAGTGGTGTGCTGGGATCAGGCCTTCCCACGCACCTGTCTCGGACCACGTTGATGGTCCTCAGGCCCAGGGCCGCGGCGATCTGGATGACTGCTTGCCCCACTCCACTGTTGGATGCATTCTGGATGACAGAATCCCCTGTGGAGCCAGGAAGAGACTCAAGTTGAGACCTGTAACAGGTCAAGGGCTTCCAGCCTAGAATCCTATTATAGGGCCGGAGGTGGAGTCCTCAGACTCTGAAAGTACCCAGGACCTGCTGCTGAGCCTTCTCAGTCCTTGGACTGTTGCTCACTCTTCTCCCGTGCCCCCCAAACCTCTACAACACCCATGAAGCCTGCCAGGGTTCAGCAACTCAAGAGTTCACACTGGATGCAACTTAGACCCTGCTGTGTAAATGATTTTGCATCCTTCATCATCCTCCCAATTTTTATGTCCACAAGTCTCTGCTTAGGTTATTTCTTTGGCTTGCAATGTTTTCCTCTTTCCATCTCCCTTCATTTTCAAATCCTATATATCCTTCGAAGGACTGATCGAGTGTGGCCTCCTACATGAAGCCTTCCCAGATTCTTCCCCCGTGCACTCCCACAGCACTCTGCGGCCGTCTCTGTTAATGGTCACGGTCAGCCCTGACTTATACTTGGTTGTTATCTCAGTCCATTTCTATCAACAGGCTGCGGCTTCTTGAGGGGTAGATGCACTGCCTCAAAATGGGATTAGAGCTGCACTGGAGAAACTGGCAGCCCCTGAAACAGGGACCTCCGGATAGTCTGTGGTCAAAGCCGAGGCCTAACTTTGGACTTAGCCAACGGGGGAGGCCACGGGCCATGCTGGGAAAAGCATGGGCTCTGGAACGAGACATACTGGGGTGTGAGTCCCAGCTTCTCCACTGACTGTAACGGAAAGTGAACGGGGCGGGCTGAGTCCTGACCTCTTTGAACTTCAGTTTCTCCCCCATGAAACAGGAGTCCTAGAAGCACCCACTGGGGTGCTCCTCATTAGAGCCCAGTGCTGTTGTGTCCGGGAAGGGGCTCTGTTCCCCTGAAATGCTATCTGGGTTTTGAGAGGCAGCAGGGATCTTGTGCTAGAGACAGAGGAGTTTCTGGAAGAAGGCCCATCCTCCTTAGGGTCAGCCTACAGATTGTCACACATCAGTGGGTTATGAAACCAACCTAGTGGGTTGCAAGCTTTTTTTTTTTTAAAGTTAAAATCAAGGAAAATAGAATAAAAAAATAGTGGAGTGCATCACACATAGTGAGGGTAAATATTATTCCATGAAACTTTGGTTCTCAGTACATATATATTCATATACGTCTATATACGGGATGACAATTTAAAGTGTAATTCTTACTCTGGGTCAAAATCACACGTTTCACGCCAGCCCTGGGGCAGGAAGGTGGAGAGATACACCACGGGCACAACAGGCCACAAAAGGTGGGTGGTGTCACAATAGCCTGATGTGACGACCACAGCTGCAGCCCACATCAGAGGGGGTCTGAGGGGAGAGGATGCAGGCGACCAAAACATCTGCTGCACTGGGACTTGAGCAAAGGTCCCTGATCACACCTGCTGGCTTTCTGCACTTCAAGAGACCTAGGGCTGCTCTGCCACAGCTGGGAGAACCGGCATTTGTCTCTGCAGGAAGCTGGGACTGGTTTTCAGCCAGACTTACGCAGAGCTGCCACCGAAGGTGATCACACTCCGGTATCTCTCCATCTCAGTTTCCTCGTCGGCATGACAGAGCTGGACTGGGTGATCTCTAGGGCCCCTGCCAGCTCCCGGCTATGCGTGGTGTGTGGGGTAACCCTCCAACAACGGGGGACGGGAGCTGGTGGGTAAGTGGCCCAGCCTCCTGTCACTTGGAGGTTAGTTCTGAGGAGGGGTCTGTGAGGGTCTGTGGAGGGTCCCCAGCAGGACTGGGCCCCGGTTGCCCACGGCAGGAATCAGCTTTCGCTGGCTCTTCCTCCTTCCCTGTCCCTGTCCCCAGGCCCTCACTCTTGCTTCCTGGGGTCACCTCCCCAGTGAACGGTCGGCCCCCAGTTCTTTTCTTAGGCTCTGCTTTCAGGGGAACCTGGAATAAAACACCTGGCTTTGTCATTTCCTTGCTGAGTGATCTCATACAAATAACTTACCTCTCTGGACCTCAGTTTCCTCATTTATAAAAAAGGGAGAATGATAACAGCAGTGCACCTTTACTGTGCTGTATGCCAGGCCCTGTGCTAAGTGTCACACGGCATGTTTCAGTGAGCCCTCAGAACCCCTTACTCTCCATTTTACGGATGAAAAGTCTGATGATTTGAGAGGTCAGTTCCCAGTTAGTGAGGCGAAGCTGGGGTTCAGACCCGTGCTGTGGACCTCATTGCACCGCTCTGACGTCCAGTGCGTTTGACGGGGCAATGCATGGAAAGGCACGTATGTGGACTGGAAAGTGCTCTGGCAGTGCTGAGTGGGAAGACTAACACCAAGTTCAGCATTTTATTGGAAACACAGGGACTGTGTCTATGTTGTCTGGCTTTGGAGCCCCAGAGCTCAGCACAGCTCCATACGATTTTGCTGAATGACGGAATTCCATCCCAAGCTCTAGGGAATGTGACCCTTCAGCGGTTTTCTAGGGTGTACCCCTCATGAGGTTTCAGCATGTTTTCCAGGATCCAAGCTAACACCTTTCCATGTAAAGCAACACCACCACCCAGGTTGGGACCATTTTCCTTGCAGGTAAGTTCCCAGGCCTCGGGGTCGGGACACGGGTCACACCCCAGTCAGGAGTACCCGGCCTGCCCACCCACTGCGGTTCCTACCTGGCCGCAGCTGCTCGAAGTCCATCAGCATCCGGTAGGCCGTACAGGGATTGACGCCCAGGGTGGCGGCGCTCTGAAGAGGGATGTCACTCGGAACCGAGATGAGCGCTTCCTCGCTGAACACAGCCTCGGTTCGCCAGGTTCCTAAGTGGGGGGAGGCCAGGGGAGTAAGGAAGGACCCCCTCCATGCCCAACCCCACTCCCCCTCCTCAGTGGACGGGCATCGAGGACAGCGGACTTCAGTAATACTTGCAGAAAAAGGAAAATCCCGAAGCCTTTTTGAACGTCCGAGCCCTCGTGATAATTACGTTAGGGACACTGTGTTATTCCCACGTCAGTTACCAGCAGAGTTGGCTCGTGTCACACAGCAGGTGGCTGAGGGTCTCAAACTACTGGACTCTGAGGGTGAGACAGCAACATCATTACCAGGGCAAGAGAAGTTGAGAAGGCCCCATTTCCCACTCGACCCTCATTCTCACCTAAGGCAGGGTGACTCGGGTGGTATTATGGAAAAAAGCATGAACGCCAAAGGCAAAGGCCGGGGTGTGGGACCTGGCTTTGCTGCTCTGCTAGTCTGAGCACAGCACTAAGTCACTGAGATTTGGTTATTCTAATATGTAGATGACACTGGCAAGAAGAGCCTTGACTGGCCTCCCCCAAGAACTGTTGCACAGATCAAATGAGATATGGGAAGTGAAACAATCCTGTAAACTGGAAAAAAATGCTCATTAACCCCCAGACCACATTCCAGTTCTAGACAAAAGAATAATAAAATGTCCAATTTAAAGTCCTCACTCGGGCCTCCCTGGTGCCGCAGTGGTTGAGAGTCTGCCTGCCGATGCAGGGGACACGGGTTCGCGCCCCGGTCCGGGAAGATCCCACATGCCGTGGAGCGGCTGGGCCCATGAGCCATGGCCGCTGAGCCTGAAAGTCCGGAGCCTGTGCTCCGGGAGGCGCCACAACAGTGAGAGGCCCGCGTACCGCAAAAAAAAAAAAAAAAAAGTCCTCACTCAACAGGGCAGGAACTGAGGCCGTGATTTGCCCTGTCGCCCAGCTCCCCGGGCTGCCCCCTTCCGTCTGCAGATACTCATCGGGCACCGGCTGTGAGCCAGGCCCCTCCAACAACAACACAGTCCTTAAGTTCGCAGTGTGCTCACTCCAGTGGAGCAGAATAGGTGAGACACGAACAAGCAAATACAAGAATTCTAAGTTATACAGAGAGAGAGAGAGAGAGAGAGAGAGAGGGAGGGAGAGAGGGAGAGAGGGAGAGAGGGAGAGAGGGAGAGAGGGAG